ATGCAATGCCAATCCAGATCCCATCAACATTCTTAAGGATATGGAAAAACCAATCACTAACTTAATATGGAAAGGAAAGATACTTTTGATAAGCAAAGCATTATTGAACAAGAACAAAGTAGGAGATCTCACACTCTCAGGACCTAAACCTACGACACAGCCACAGCAGTCAAAACTGCCTGGTATTGGTAAAATGACAGACACATAGACCAATGGAATAGAATTGAGAACACAGAAATAGATCCATCAACCTATGGTAAGTTATCTTTGAAAAAAGGCCAAAATCCTTTAAATGGGGAAGAGAATGTTTAATAAATGGCGTGGGCAAAACTGGACATCCATTTGCAAAAAAAAAAAATGAAACAAGATCTGTACCTCACACCATACACAAAAACTAACTGCAGATGGATCAAAGACTTAAATGTGAAAACTAACACTATAAAGTTCCTCAAGGATGAATGGGACCTTCCAAAAATTAAATTTTTATGTGCTTTCAAACATTTCTCTAAAAGAGTCAAAAGAGAACCTACAGACTAGGCAGAAATATTTGGTAATGGCATGTCTTACAAGGGAATTATCTCTAGAATTTATAGAAAATTCCAACACCTAAACAGCAGAAAGACAAATAATCCACTTTAAAAAATGAGCAGAAGTCATGAATAGACTTCACCAAGCAGGATATTCAAGCAGCCAACAAACACATGGAGACATGCTCCTGATCATTAGTCATAGAGAGATGCAAATTAAAACAACAATGAGATACCATCTTGCCCCAGCATTAGTAGCAAAGTTCAACAAAACAGAAAATAACAAATGCTGGTGAGAATGCAGAGAGACTGGGACTCTCGTACCCTGCTGGTGGAACTGTCAAATGATACAACGACCGTAGAAAGCACTATAGCAATTCCTTAAAAAGTTGGAATTAGAAATACCATTTGACCTAGCCATTCCATTACTAAATATCTATCCTAAAGAAATGAGAGCCAAGACAAGAACAAATATATGCATGTCCACGCTCATCATAGCACTATTTACAACAGCCAAAAGATGGAAACAGCCTAGCTGCCCATCAATAGAAGAATAGATAACCAAACTATGGTACATACGCACAACAGAATACTATATAACCCCAAAGAGAAACGTAGAATCGGCAAAACACTGTGTAACGTGGATGAACTTGGAGGACATTATGCTGAGCGAAATAAGTCAATCACAGAAGGGTAAATACTGTATTACTCCATTATTATAAAAAGTGAAGGAAAGGTTTATATATGGAAGGAAATTTTCTTTATTGGTTACCAGAGGTGAGAGGGGAGGGAAGACTATTAGAAAGGCAGAGACAAGTATTGATTTGAGTGAAGAGAAGGACAAGGTACCAAATGTTAGTGATCAACATGGTTACACTGAGGAAGAGGAAGACATAGAGAGGTCCATGGGAGGCACAGACAACAAAGATGAACCCTTCTGCACATACAGTACTGTGCTGTCAATGAGGGAAAACACTGATATATGGGTGGATAGATGGGTGCACAGGCTGAACTATTAGGTATGTCCATGCAGGGGGGAGTATGCCCAAGACCATGTATAGGGTTGGCAGACAATGTTTCTACAAGTATATCTGTATGTTCTGTAAGAATTCCCAGCTATATAATAGAGCTGACAAGGGGCAAATTTGTAGTTACTTCTTTGCCACAGCCAGCTACCCAGAGGGAGCAAGTAGTTGGACCTGTGGATTTGGGACCATAATCACAGGGGACATCAAGCTCAACTGGCAGAACATACTACACAAAACATTCTTCCACATCCTACTCTGGCAAGTAGCTACTGGGGTCTTAACAACTTGCAAGCAGCCATCTAGATGCAACAACGGATCTCTCCTCGTCCAGAGCAAAGAAGAATGAAGAAAACCAAAGACACATGGAAACAATTGGTCCAAGTGACTGGTAGACCACGCAATCCTCAGCCTATATGACTATGAGACCACAAGCAATAGATGGTGCTTGGCTACCAGTGTCAACCACTCAGAGGAGAATCTCTGTAGGAGATCCTGGATAGAGCAGGAGAACAATGTGGAACAAAAAATCATTTGGAAAAAAAAGGGAGGGGGTAGGTTTGCTGGTCTGATAGACCCTGATGGAACCCCTGAGACTATGGCCCTTAGCTGCCCTTCAGTTCTGGAATTGAACCACTCCTGTGTCTTCCAGCCAAACAAAAGACAGGCATATGAGCTAAACATTTAACATTAGGTAGATACACTCCTTGGAGAGATCATGGGAGAATAGAAAGGCTGTGTATGCACAGGGAGATAGCTCAGAGGCAGGAGTGCATGGAAGGGAAGAACACAGAGAAGAAGTAACTATGGGGAGGAAGGGGGAGGGGTGCTGTTGCATTGTGGGATATTGTAGTCAATGTCATGAGAGAAAGTAAAGTGTATGTGAGCTGCTATATGGAAAGTGCGTTTCTTCTGTAAACTTTTACCCAAATCACAATAAAAATTAAAAAAAAAAAAAAAAAGATTTACAGCCTTAGAAATCCAAAGGCATCACTATGAGTCGGAATCAATTTGATGGCAGTGGGTTTGATTTTTGGTTTTAGAAAACTCTAAGGTGCACAAACAGTTTGAGCTTAACCGCTAAAGATTGTTGGTTCAAACCCACCCAGTGGTACAAGGAAGAAAAGTCCTAGCGAAATACTTTGATTATATTACAACCAAGAAAACCATATACAGCAGTCCTACTCTGTAACACATGAGGTTGCTGTGAGTCGGAATTAACTCGAAAGCAACTAACAATAACATAACAGAAGAACCATAAAACCACTCACTGCAATGGAACTAAGTATAGTGCTAAAAATTACCTTTCTAACCTAAGAGTACAAATATGTCTTCATTTTGAAACTCTTTATAAAGCACATAAAAGCTACTTTATCCTGTTTTCTTAAGAGGATATAAAGTCCCGTAAACAGAGACACACAACTGTTATAATCTGAGCTACATTCATTTCCAAAATTGTTCATTTTTTATTCATTTAATTTTAAGGAGTTTACTATTTGCTATAATCTACTCTGCTGATATTGCTGAGATGCAGAGGTGAGTATGATTAGGTCTCTGCTTTCAATGATCTAAGTACACAGTAGGGAAAGAAGACTGCTATAAACTGAATTGAATCGTATTCCCAAAAAATATGTGTTGTAAATCTTAATCCCTAGACCTGTGGATATAATCCCATTTGGGAATAGGGATTCTTTGTTATGTTAGTTAGGACTTATCATGCAGGGTGTGTCTTAGACAAATCACTTCTGAAATATAAAAGAACAGATTAGGCACAGAAGCAAGTAAGAAGGAATAGGGGTAAGATAGATCCCACATGGAAATCTACAATGAATGATGAGAAAAACACTAGAGAAGCTGAGACATGGGTTTTTACCCAGAGTAAGCATAAAGAGCCTTCCTTTAAAGAAAGCATCTCTGAATCTGGACTTCTGCCTTCTTCAACTGTAAGAAAATAAGTTTTTGTTTGTTAAAGCCACCCACTTGTATTTCTGTTATAGTAGCATTAAGAAACTAAGGCAGAGACAAACAAGTTATTACAAAGGAGTAAGAAGAAATAGTAATGAAAAGGCAGAAATAGCAAATTAACACTAGAGAACAGGGAGAATGAAGTTGTTCTGCAATCTCAAGTGTAGTAAGCAGAAGAATAAGTCAGCAAAATCTTTTAGAGTCTTCTTAAAAGAGTTTAGAACAAAAATATTTGCAAGCACAGGCTTTCAAAAGTTAAACACCTTTTCCTAGAAAAAGAATACATAAGAATGAGCAGGAACTGTTGTTGTTGTTGTTGCTGTTGTTAGGTGCCACAGAGTCAGCTCCAACTCAGTGATCCTGTGTACAACAGAATGCAACACTACCTGGTTCTGCTTCAGCCTCACAATACTTGCTGTACCTGAGCCCACTGTTACAGCCACTGTGTCAATCCATCTACTTGAGGGTCTTCCCCTTTTTCACTGACTCCACTATACCAAGCATGATACCCTTCTCCAGAGAATGGTCCCTTCTGAGAACATGACCAAAGTAAGTAAGACGAAGTATGGACATTCTCACTTCCAAGGAGCACTCCGGCTGCCCCTCTTCCAGACAGATTTGTTCCTTCTTCTGGCAGTCCATGGCACTTTCAGTATTCTTCACCAACACAACTCAAAGGCATCAACTCTTCTTCAGTCTTCCTTATTCACTGTCCAGCTTTCACATGCATAGGAGGCAACTGAAAATACCATGGCTGGGGTTAGGTGCACCTTAGTCTTCAAAGAGATATCTTTGCTCTTCAGAACTCGAAAGAGGTCTTTTGCAGCAGATTTGCCCAGTGCAATATGCTGCTGCTTCCACTGGTATTGACTGTGGTACCAAGTAATATGAAATCTCTGACAACTTCAACCTTTTCGCCATTCATTGTGATGCTGCTTATTGATCCAGTTGTGAAGATTTCTGTTTTCTTTATGTTGAGGTGTACTCCATACTGCAGACTATAATCTTTATATATACATATATATAAATCAAACTCAAACTCATTGCCATCAAGTCAAAGCCAATTCACAGTGATCCCTCCTTGGGTTTCCAAGGGTTTCTAAGGCTTTATCTCTACAGAAGTAGATTGCCCAACCTTCCTTCCCTTCCTTCCAAGGTGTGGCTGGTGGGTTTGAACCACCAGCCTTCTGGTTAGCAGTCAAATGCCTTAGGCACTATGCCACCAGAGCTCTTATACACACACACACACACACACATATATATGTGTGTGTATGCGTGTGTGTGTGTGTGTGTGTATCTTACCTATTACAACTATTTTACCTATTACACATCACTACTTTAGGTCCAAAATTCTAATTCCTTTAATTTTCTGGAAACTAAAAAAATGGTTTATAATCTCATAAGTTATTTATTCAAATAAGTCATAATCAGAAAAATCTAAATATCACATTAAAAAGAAAACAAATTAAGTATATAACATCACCTGCTCCACACAGATTTGAATGGGGGTGGATTTGCATCAGCATTGCACTTGAGGTTAACACCTTTTCTTCCTATAAACCAATTTCCATCATACCCTGTTACTGACACTTCAGGAACATCTATAAAGTAAATACATGACAGACAATTATTCTTTGCTCATGGTAAAAGTAATACACACTGAGAAAGTGTTAACATAACCAATTCAGTATCAGAAGAACAAGAATCATTTTTTCTTACTTTAAACATATATAACCAATGCTGAAGACCAAACCCAAAAACGAAACCGACTGCTAGAGTCAATTCTAACTCATAGTGACCCTATGGGACAGAGTAGAACTGCCCTATAGGGTTTCTAAGGTTGTAAATCTTTATAGAGCAGACTGCCTCATCTTTCTCCCAGAGTAGCTGATGGGTTGAAACTGTCGACCTTTTGGTTAGTAGCTGAATCCCTTAGCCACTGTACCACCAGCGCTCTATAATGAGCACAGTATTCAAAAAATATAGTTGACTTAAAGAATGAGTAAATGAATGATCAAATAAATATCCAAACACTGGGCAGCTATATGCATGCGCAGTTCCAGTTAGACACTGAAGGTAGGCATATTAATAAACCTATAATTACCAAAAGCAAAATATAAGAGTTCTATTATGAGATACACTGTTGTTGTTGTTATGTGCCATGGAGTTGGACCCGACTCACAGCGACCCCTCCTTGGGTTTCCAAGGCAGTATCACTACGGAAGTAGATTGCCCAACTTTCCTTCCAAGGAGTGGCTGGTGGGTTTGAACCACCGGCCTTCTGGTTAGCAGTCAAGTGCCTTAGGCACTGTGCTACCAGAGCTCCTGTTATAAGACATAGAGATATAAGAACAAAAGCAAACATTACAGTACTTAACTCAATACTCAAACATGGCAGCATGTCACCATATAAAACTGTTTTTACAGAAACATTTCATATAAAAGGAAATATCCTCTAAAAGGTATCAGCTGAATGACAGAGATTAGATTCCCTAAAATACAATTAATATTCTTAGGGTATGTAGAGATAACGACACAATTTTTTTCATGTTACATACTTACATCTCAGATAAATTACCTGGGACCTCAACTGTACTAAAAAATTAGCTTTTATCCATTCAGTGCACTCAAGGTCTTGTGGCAAATGTGTAATGTAACGAGTTGAAAGCAGAGTTATCCCTAGCCATCAGCAATGTAAACTCGTGCCTTTAAACTACAAGTCCAATACTACTAATTCACTCAACCGTCACTTTATTTAGTTCTAAATAAGTGCCAGGTACTATTTTAGGTGTTTGATATATATATATATAGACTCTGTATTTGTGTGGTAGTTCACTTTGTGTGTCAACTTGGCTTGGCCTGGTTGAATGTCTAGGCAGCTGGATGAAGTATTCCCCATGATGAGACTGGTAATCAACTCCATGGTGGAATCGACTGTGAGCAGCTAAGTAGCTGCCTTAGGGAATGTGGTCTGCTTCCTGTATTTAAGCAGAAGCCTTGGGGAATGGTCTCTAGCATTTGGAACGCTTGGACCCTGCATGTAGGTGTGTCATCGTTCAGCAGCCTGCCATGCTCTACCGACCTTGGGACTTAACAGTGGACTTGAATTAATGGCCTGCCTTGTGGTTTGGTAACATCGGGACTGTGCCATTTTATTTGTGGACCTTGGGCTTGTTAGCCTCAGCAGCCAGTAGCTGCGTGAGTGAAGAAAAGCCTCTAGCTTCAGTGGGCCGGGAGCAAGAGGCAAAGCTGAAGCGCAAAGTCAAGGGGCTCTTACCCAGCCCTAGAGCCTGGCACTTTGAACTCAGACTTCTAGCCTCCCGAACTGTAAGACAATAAACTCCTGTTTGTTAAATGGTATATTTTTGTCAGAGTGGCACTAGGTAACCAGAACAATGTGTAAAGCTTATAACAGTAACAGGGAAGATGAAATTTTAAAATCATTTCACTGAAATTTGTCATAAGGGCCAAGAAGAGAAATATGGTGCAAAAGGAAAGGTAATAGAAAACGCCTTTAGGTTAGGGATGGAGTCCAGGACTCATGAAGACTTCTCTTAACGAAGTGTTACAAATGGCTTGGTGAAAGGACTCTCATCATTCTGTGAGTTACATAGTAAGATGGGTAAATACAAGGCTAGAGTAAAGGGTACAGAGAGACCAGGTTAGTCTTTAACATTGACAGGGAAGCCTGACCTATTGAGAAGAAAAGATTATTCCAAAAAAAAAAAAACAGTGAAAATTAATCGTTTACTAAGGCAAAGCTACCTTAGCAATTTGAAAAAAGAAAAGTTTACCTCTTTATAAATACCAAGAATTAACAAATTTTTGAAACTTACAATCAATAATGAAAAACGTTACTGAAAGAATAGTTTCTATAAGTTTGAACTGAAAGTGGCAGCATCCTAATGAATACCTTCAAACTGAGATATGAAATTGGGTTATAAGATCTTATTTCCTCAAATATGTTTATGTTTTATAAGTCTCCAATTAAAACAGAAAAACTATTCTGTAATTTTAAGAACAATTTTAGGACTGAGTCAATACTTACAATGGGAGACATGGTTATATAGATATAGGACTGCATTAAAGCAAATAAAAAGATTAATAACTACAAATATAAATTGAAGAAAATTTCAACAATTACTAAACACAGGGAAGAAAAATATTAATAGTACTTATAATTGGGTTCTGAATTTTACAAGGAAAAGAAAAGTTTTAAGAGTTGTGAAAGCAAGGTAGGAAAAGGTAAAAGAAAAACTTTAATTGGATTCTCCAGAGAAAACATAGTATCAGCATTCAGGAACACAAACTATAGCCTCTCTAGTTTAAGCCCATAATTGTTTTAAAAAGAGCCTTGGAATTAGCTTTGGAAACCAAGACATCAAGTATAATGCATACGTGTAATTTAAAATTCTAAACATGCTATATGAAAAAATAAACCAACGAAACCACAAACAGAACACCTCCTTTAACAACCTGTCTAAATTTACAATATGTCCAAGGATGGAAATGACAGCAGAATCTAAATACTTTTCCTATTCTGCATAATTTTTGTTAGCTTTTTTATGATTATAGAAGCTAACTGCATCATCACTTCTTCTAGTATTCAAAGTTTTAAATGCTACAAAAGTAACAAGGAATAAACCAAATACTGAAAATCTTTATACAAAAGATGTAAGTGTGCAAACACGCATATGTACACACATATACATACATATACACACACAGGAAAGTACCCCTTAACAAAAAAATATAACCAAGTTGGGCCATTGGTCATTATTTCACTGATTTCTTAAAAGCATCATTTTATAATCTGATTAATAAAGTCAGATTAGAAATAAGGTATTTTTTAAAAATACAGATTCCAATCTAATTAAAATGTATTTAGGGAAATGTAAGATTCTTACTGAAAACACAATAGGTAACATCAATGAAAGTTAACAGCTGAATTAATGAAAATGAAGAACCTGATGCTTGCCTCTAAGTATTATATACTGTGAGGTACATTTTTTATACTCCCACACAATATTCCCACAATTCATTTAAATCTAAACTACTTTAAAGATCTAAAAAGGACATGGTTAAATAATTTCAAGTTGTAAAGCAAGCTTAAAGTCATGTTCATCTTTACTGAACTAATTTTAAAAAAAATGTTCTGGTTAAATAAAATCCCCAGGATAATATGAACAAATTATAAAACTGTAAAAAATTATTTTTAAAAAAGCCAACAAGGAAAAGCTGTGTAAGAATATGAGTATTAAATATTCAAAACAAAAATGTTGATAAATATAACACAGAAAGAAAATTAAAATAAAATGCATTACTTACATTTAAAAAGTAAATGTTAACTATGTACTTACATTGTATATCTAATATGAAAGAATATCGGATATCCTTTTCCAAGGCTGGATGTTTTACAACACAAGTAATTCGTCTTCCACGAGCAAATCTGGTTGGAAACAGCTTGTACTGGCTGACAATTGTTGCAGTTTCATTTGGAAAAGTTGTTGTAGTGGATTCCATTTCACCAAGATCACCTTCCCAATCAATATGTGCAACTGGTTTTCCAGTTGCTGCAATACAAATGGCTGCTACCGTTTCATTTCCTCCATCAATTAAAGAATCTGGCCCTTTTATCAGGCTCACAGTGGGTTCAACTGTTAAAAATATTTAAAAAATACATTTCAAGTAAGAAAATGTTCGCACCCTTACAAGCAACATATATGCATATTTTCATAAGCTTAAAGACAATGGCATGTAAACCACACATACACACACACTTTTTAGATGAAAACATCTATTGGACTCTAGAAATGAGATAATTATGAACCAGATAAAGACACCAAGATTTTATATAACTATACAAAGATGCTCTCCTTGGTACAAATACACTTTACAGAAATAGGTAAGTCCACATCCCCCGAAATTAGTATACAGTATCCTTTCTGTGAACTGTATCATAATTTCCATTATGAAATTAAAGACAATATTCTGGAAAGGAGGAAAAAACAGTTTTAATATATAATCCCTGATTTTGCAGAAAAAGTATTTAAAGGAAATACTTTTTTAATAGTTACATGTATAGAACCTACACTTAAAATGTTAATAAAATGTTCCTTTCAGAGAACACAGAGGAGAAAATACATTTTTCTTGGCCCAGGAGGTGAATTTATATTATTTAAAACACTGCCTTTTAAGCCTTACTTTTCTCATATTAATTAAAAAAAAAAAAAACTATAAGGGCTGTTAAAGTTGTTCAACTACTTTTGTTTATAATACATAATTACATACTACCATGTAATGTCATTAACATTTTTTTTATTGAAATGTACATGGCATCTATATTCTTCTAATATAAGAAAAGTAGGGAAGAGTAACCTTAATGTCAGAATCTACCGATCTATCTCACATATCTCCTATCTTTTCCTATTTCCCAGTAATTTCTATGTGCTTCTTTCAATCAGTCTATAGTTTATTCTGTGTATTGTGTTTTTATTTCAATGACTTCTTTCTCCATTTCTAGGAACTCTAATTGGTTCTTTCAATGTCATCTGTTCTTGATTTGTTATCAACCTGTTTTTGTTTCATATTTCCTTTAAGGTATATTAATATTTTCTTTAAATAGTTCCTCTAAGATCCATTTTTGTATAATCTCAAAGGGAAAAGTACAGACAACACACATAATGAATATTTTTATAACAAACATCATGGAACCACCACAAATGGTAAAAAAAAAAAAAAAAAAGAGTATTATTAGCATCCCAGAAGTCGCTCATAAATCTCTCTGATCTTAACATCCTGACTGCCTCAATGTGAAATCAATATACTGACTGTGGAAATATTTTTCCTACTGGTCAGTACAGCTCTTCCAATAACAACTGCAAACCTAAACAACAGAATTTCACTTTCCGTTTCTGAACTTTGTATGAGTGGAAGTGAACTACATTTATTTTTGTATAGTTTTCCTTTGACTCAACTTTGTGTTCCTAAAATTAAATCAAATTGTAACATTAAACTTTATTATTTTTGGAATTTTTTTTCAACTTTTTATTTTGAAACTGAAATTCATATGCAGTTAAACAGAATATTAGTTTTAACTACTGTATAGTTTATTTACCACTGGGTATTTGGATTGTTTATTTGGAAAAAATATAAGCGCTGGTAGCATAGTGCCTAAGGCACTTGACTACTAACTAGAAGCCTGGCAGTTCAAACCCACCAGCCACTCCTTGGAAGGAAGCTTGGCCAATCTATTTCTGTAGTGATACCGCCTTGGAAACCCAAGGAGAGTTTGCCATGAGTGAGGTCCAACTCGAAGGCACATAATAACAACAGTAACGTTGGTATCTTGTGCATAAATTTCTCATTTGTCCCCGGCAGAACTGGACCTACTATATGTATTTTCAGAAGCCCTGGTGGTACGATGTTTAAGTGCTCAGCTACCAAACAAAAGTACAGTAGTTCAAACTCACCAACCACTCTGCTGAAAAAAGATGTGGCAGTCTGCTTCTGTGAAGAATTATAGCCCTGGAAACCCTACAGGTGCAGTTCTACACTGTCCTATAGGGTCACTATGAGTCAGAATCAACTCAGTGGCAAGTGGGTTTATATGTGTTTTCAACCTTACCAGATAACGTCAAGCAGTTTCCAGCAAAATTTTACTTGTGAGTGATATTAAGGATAATGCTCAATAATTTCCACATTCTGATCGATCACCTTTCTTTGTAATGGGCACAAATATAGATCTCTTGTAGTCAACTGGCCAGGTAGCTGTGTTTCAAATTTCTTGGCATAAAGGAGTAAGTGCCCCAGCACTTCATCCATTTGTTGAAATATCTCAACGAGTATTCCAAACCCTGGAGCCTTGTTTTTCAACAATACTCTCAGTACAAGCTTGGACTTTCTCCATCAATATTATTGGTTCCTGAACATATGCTACCTCTTTTTGGTACAGTGACTCTGTGGAGACCTTCCATCTTCTTTTGCTGTGTCCTGCATCATTCAATACATTGCCCACAGAACCTTTAAATATTGCACCCTGAAGCTTGATTTTTTTTTTCACCAGTTCTTTTACCCTAAGAAATGCCAAGAACGTTCTTCCCTTTTGGTTTTTTAACTCCAGGTCTCTGCATATTTCATCATTACAACACTTCAGTTTGTCTTCTTGAGCTGCCCTTTGAAACCTTCAGTTCAGCTCTTCTATTTAATCATTTTTTCCACTCGCTTTAGCTACTCTCCATTCAATTCAAGAGCAAGTTTCGGAGTCTCTTCTGACATCCATTTTGGTCTTTTCTTCTTTTCCTGCCTTTTGTTTTCTTTGTATATGATGTTCTTGAGGTCATTCAATGGGACATTTATCGAGGTTGTATTTTGGCTCTCATGGATTTGTTTTAATTTTCTTCTGCTAGAAGTTGCATATGAGCAACTGATGGTCCATTTTACAGTCAGTTTGTGGCCTTGTTTTGACTGATGAGACTGGGCTTCTCCAATGCCTTTTTCCACAGATAACAGTTTATTTGATTCCTGTATACTCCATATGGCAAGGTCTATGTGTACAGCTGCCATATTTATGTTGTGGAAGAAAGGTATTTGTATTGAATAAGTCATGGGTCTTGTAAAATTCTATCATAAGATCTCTGGAGTCATTTCTATCACCAAGACCTTAATTTCCAACTAACAATGATTCTTTGTTTCTAACTTTTGCACTACAATCACCAATAACTGATACATCTTGATTGCATGTCTGGTCAACTTCAGACTGCAGAAGTCGGTAAGAATATTTAATTTCTTCATCTGTGGCTTTGGTGGTTGGTGCCTAATTTTGAATGACAACATTATTAACTGGTCTCCATTGTAAGCATATGGATACTATACTATCAACTGACAGCATTGTACTACACAACAGGTCTTGAAATATTCTTTTTGACAATGAATGCAACACCATTCCTCTTCAATTTGTCATTCCCGGCATAGATCATAAGATTATCTGATTCAAAATGGCCAATACCAGTCCATTTCAGCTCACTAACGTCTTCAGCTCACTATCACACACAAGTAAAATTTTGCTGAAAATCATTTAAAAATGGCTGTAGCAGTACACTGATAGGGAAACTAATGCCTACGATAAGGAGCTCTGGTTGTGTAGTGCCTAAGGCATTTCACTGCTAATCAGAAGACTGGCATGGCAGTTCAAATCCACCAGCTACTATGCAGAAAGAAGACAGTGCAATCTATTTCTGTAAAGATTTACTGCCTTGCATTGAGGAAGAGGAAGAAATACAGAGGTGTGTAGGAGGTGCAGACAACAAATATAAACCCTTTTACTCATACAATACTGCACTGTCACTGTGGTAAACACTGACATATGGGTAGATAGATGGGTGGACAGGCTGAACTATTAGCTATGTCTATCCAGGGAAAGTGTACCCATGACTATGTATAGGGTTGGGAGACAATGTTTCTAAAAGTGTATCTGTACGTTCTGTAAGAATTTCCAGGTATACAGTAGAGCTGACAAGGGACAAGTTTGTAGTCACTTCTTGGTCATATCAAGCTACCCAGAAAGAGCAAGTAATTGGACCTGTGGTCTCGGGACCATGGTCACAGGGGACATCAAGCTCAATCGGCATAACATACTACAAAAAAACATTGTTCAACATTTTACTCTGGCGAGTAGAGACTGCAATCTTAAAAGCTTACAAGCAGCCATCTAGATCCAACAATGGGTCTGGGTCTCTCCTCATCCAGAGTAAAGGAGAATGAAGAAAACCAAAGACACATGGAAACAATTAGCCCAAGAGACTGGTACACCTGTGATCCTCAGCCTATACATCTGTGAGACCAGAACAACTAGACGGTGCCAAGCTACCACTGTCAACCACTCAGAGGGGGATTTATGTAGGAGATCCTGAATAGAGTGCAAGAACAATGTGGAACAAAACTCAAAAATCATAAAAAAAAGGGGGGGGCGGGGGGAGCAAATTACTGGTAAAACTTGGTAGAACCACTGAGACTATGGCCTCTAGCTGCCCTTCAGGTCTAGAAATGAACCCACTCGTGTAGCCTCCAGCCAAACCAAAGACAGGCATATGAGCTGAACATTTACATTAGGTAGATACACTCCTGGGCGAGATCAATCTCTGGGAGAATAAAGGGCTGTGTATGCAAGGGAGACAGCTCGGGGGTGGAAGTGCATGAGAGGAAAGGACACAGGGAAGAGGTCAATATGGGGAGGAAGTGGGAAAAGAGCTGTTGCATTGTGGGAAAGTGCAGTCAACGTCATGGGACAAAGTATATGTGAAGTGCTATATGGAAAATGAATTTTCTCTGTAAACTTTTACCCAAATCACAATAAAAATTTGGGGGGAAAAAAAAAAAGATTCACCGTCTTAGAAACCCAAAGGGGTTGCTATGAGTCAGAATCAACTCAATGGCAGTGAGTTTTGGTTTTTAGTTTTAATATCTAGGATATCAATCTTTATCTGTTACATTTTGTTTCTGACAACTTCCAGTTCTCCTAGATTCATACTTCATACATTCCATGTTCCAACTATTAATGAATGTTTGCAACTGTTTCTTCCAGGTTTGAGTCATGCCCTATCAGCAAATGAAAGTCTTGAAAGCTTTACTCCATCTATGTCATTAAGGTTGACTCTAT